GTTCTAGGAATCTTTTGTTACCAACATTTTTGAACTTATTTACTCTCTTGAAATGTACAAAACTTATGCACTCATGGGGTAGAATATTTGCTTTATGGATATTATTTTTTTGATGGATAATTTTGTATTAATAATAGTTTCATTTTATGATGTATTTAAACTTGAGTGTTATTATAATTTATTATATGTATAAATATTTATTTATAACAGGTGCTATATTTTGGTTTTAACTGAACTGATACAATAGCCTACCAGAACCGTTGCAATAGGACACAAATGGCGTTCCAGTAAACAATGTAAACCGTTGCAATAGGTCCCATAAATTGTTCCAAAATGATCTGCAAACCGTTCCAAATACAAATATAACCGTTACGATAGCCTAAACAAACCGTGGCTATATCCAAAATAACCGTAGCAATAGCTTACATAAGTGTTGCTTTAAATAATACGGTAACGGTTAAAAACCGTTGTATAAACAATATAGTAACGGTTTAAAACTGTTCCAATTGAAGAAGATAGCCGTTCCAACAGAGAAAGGGAAAACCGTTGCGATAGACGTATCTACTGTCACAGCGATGCAAACCGTTGCAAGAACCGTTCCAGTAGACCTATGGGTACGTCGGCTGATGCGACGGTCTTTAAACCGTTCCAATATCCCTATGGCAACGGTTTGGCAGTCTGTGGGAACGGTGTTTCAACCATTACCGTAGACCAATTTTTCAGTAGTGCACTAACTAATTGACAGCTCATTAACAGCTGTCATTAACAAGAAAAAACAAGTGACTAACTAACTATTACATGTGCTGTATCTATATTACAATACAGTTCAATACATCCATTTGAGTCTTCATGGCCATTTTTGCTGCTTTCTTTGCAGCTGATACTGCATAACTTGGAACTTTGAAAACTTTCCAGGATATTTTAGTTGCTTCCATGAATTGAAGAGATTGATACAAACATACAGACAATGTCTTGATCTGAACAACAATATGAATTATGGAGTTCCTTAATCAAGATCTGGTTGTCAGACAAAATTAAGATTGGAGAATATACGCCGAAGGACCATTTCACTGCATGCACAAAGGCATGTACTTCTGCATGTAGTTCACTAATGATCTTCAACGATCTTCTAGCTTCAGCCACTTTAACCCGAGATTTCCACCAATAAGCTATCCACGCCATTCCAGCCCATTCTTGTCCCTCTTTCCAAGCTCCCTTAACCTCCATTTCTAGTACGTCGTCGTCTAACTGTACATCAGAATCAACGTTGAAAGAATTGAGATCGACGATTGTTCCTCTATGCACCTCATAGAGCTCTCTTTTTGCTATGCCTACAGAATACGAAAACCTTGAGTGCTCTTTAATGGCAGTGGAAATGACTTCTGAGGGAACAAAAACAGCTCTTTCTTGCACTAACTTGTTGCCCATAGGACAACCAACGAAAAACTTAAATCTTCATTTTCAGGAGCTAACAAAGTCCAGGTAAGTAACCACTCTTGAAATTTAACTGGGGTCACAACTTTAAAGTTTAGGCCCAATCTTGATCCTTCCCAGACTAGCTGAGAGTATTTACAGTTCAAGAATACGTGAGTCAAGTCTTCAGCAAAGGATAAGCATATAGGGCAAGTCGATAGAACTGGCAATTCATAGAAAATAAGTTTTACATAAAAATATCTTATTTCCCCTGGAACTGACAATTGTTTCAACCTCTCAGCACACAACTCATCACCCTCATCACGCAAATGCTCAAGCTCAAATCTGTCAGGCTGCCAAGCCCATTCCAACCTCATCACCTCAATATAATCAGCATATACCAGACGAACTCCCCAATTTGATGACATAGGGCAATCTAGAGATGCCTGAAATCTACAATTGTCATTTGGATTATCTATCAACATTGTGCCCTTACCTTTATCATTAAAATGTACCTTTCTTAGGTCCAATTGTAAGAAAATAAAGCAGTCATGACTGCCATATGCTACTATATTTGACACTTGCAAATGAACTATAGCAGTACGTTCTAGCACCAATTTTGCAGTGATTGTTGCACCCCATAACAAACTGAATGCAAGCTGCCTATTACGGGTTTTTGGTGATTCATCATTTAAGAAAGGAAGCTGCCAATAGATAGCAAATCCCATAAACTTATTATTATACCACTGTCTCTTCAAGTTGAAGGAAATCCTCGTTGAACATGTCTTACGATACTTGAACCACCAAGGAACCTTAGCACTTGGATCACTTCTAGGGAAGACAATACCAAATCTTCCCCCTCTGCACTGGTCGTCAAAAACCAACTACAGCAATATTAATGTTACACAATTAGAGAATGAGACCAAGTAATTGCACCAGAACTTTCCCTGTGTGAAGCACACCACATCTCTTGCAACTTCCGATTAGCGAATGAGACCAAGTACAACTCTTTGTACATGGTTGGTAGTGTTGGAATGCTTTCCAAAGCAAAGCGATCGTCTAGAAACAGTTTCATTATACCTGGAGGAAGCTCTGGCAGCTCTGTAAGCTTTTCACAATAGGTTATGTCAAGGTGTCGAAGACGGTTAAGTAGCACAATGCTTTTAGGTAAAAAAGTGAAGTTATTTTTGCTCAGGTTTAACTCTAGTAGTGAGGCCAAGCATCCAAGATCCTCAGGAATCCTTCCATCAAATAAATTGCAAGCACTAAGATCCAGCCTTATAAGTGAGCAAAAGACGGATAAAACACTGGGCAGCTGAAACTTCAAATCAAGTTGGGCAAAACATCCCCAAAGATGTGATGGAATTTGGGGTGCACCAAATTGATGTTTCACTAGTTCACAAATGTCTTCCGGCAAGTTCTTTAGTTTGGTACAGCGATTGAGGTACAGACACTTCAAATTTTTCAACTTGCACATGCTGCTAGGAAGCGTTTCAATTTTACTGCAGCCACTCAAATCTAGATAGCTCAGGAATGATGATTGTAGTTCAAGTACCCCAAAGTTTGGCTGCTTGAATTTTGTTAAGCGATTCACATTTTGCTAAATTTCTGAAACTTTTCTCAAACTCCGACAACCAGCAAAATTTAGATATTCAAAATTTAGAGGGAAGCCTTTCAAGTTTTTCACAACCTTCCACATCTAAAATAGTAGTAAGCTTTTTGAGGGCTCCATCAGATGGGTGGACCTCTACCAGCCAAACACAGCGACGTAGGAATAGCCTCTCCAAATTTGGAGACCCAGAAAGGTCTGAAATTTGGACTAATTTTCGAGAATCACTCAAATCAAGAATACTCAACCTGTTTAAATGCTGTTTTGAACAATTAAATGAAATCAATGAATACAATTACAGTTTTTGTAACTTAGATCATAGAGAAAAATAAGTCAAACTATATATTCACAGAGGTCTCAAAGACTTAAAATCATACCTTTGACCCCTTCCAGAGGTTAACCACGTAAATGCAATGCATAATAAGCCCCACCAGCTTTGGTGGTTCAAAATTTTCTAGCAATGATGGTGAAGGATAATATGACCAATTAAACCAGCATAAGTTGTTAGAAAGAAACTTAATGGGGTCATGAGAGCAAAAATATATGACGTTCTTGTGAGACGCTGATATAAATATTCTTAGTCGTTTCATATGTCTGAAGACTTCATTGCTCAGATGAATGGTATTCTCCTCTGAGTTGGAATCAACGGGATTAGTATGACTTCTATTGCTTCTCCGCCTTGAGAATATTCAAAAATTGCGTTAACACAGCGCAAAGGACAAGTCATGTTTTGTTGCCGATGGAAAAGAAACTAAAGATATAGGGCTTCTTGACAACAATGAAATGAAAAAGAAGATAAGGGTTTCTTCTCAATATATGGCACTATTGAGCTACACGAGTTACAACTGGTTATTGGGCCTATTGGCATATTGGGCTTTCATCAGCTAATTCCTTACTGGACTTACATCAATTTAGTATTTTCTTTTGTTATCCTCTGTACATAAAATAATAGTAGCTTCTAGTATCTTCTAGAATAGGGGTAATTATGCACATGAGTAAGGAGGTTAGTTAGTTAGCTATATATTCATTTTCAACTCTTGTAAAACGGTTACAGAATCAATAATAAGAAGAATATATTCATTTGCTCTCTTTACAAAATCTCTCTCTCTAAAATCAACATGGTATCAGAGCTTCTGCTCGATCCATTCGATTTTTTCTATTATTTTGTTACAAATCTCTTCTAGATCGTTTGATTTTATACTCTAGTTCATTGAAGTTTCTTCAGATCTTCTCCTTGAAACTGTTTTTTTTACTCAAATTCAATTGGAATTCTTCAGATCTTCTCCTTGAAGCTGATTTAAATGGCAGCAACCAAAATCGATCCAGATCATCCATACTTTCTGCATGTTTCTGATTCTCCTGGAATGTGTTTGATTTCTCCTCCTTTCGATGGAACTGGTTATGGAGGATGGAGAAAATCAATTTTGATTGCTTTATCTGCTAAAAATAAGCTAGGTTTTATTGACAACAGTTTGGTCAGGCCTAAGGATGACTCACCATATTTGCGATATTGGATAAGGTACAATGACATGGTGTTTGCCTAGCTTTTGAATTCTCTTACTCCAGACATCAGGCCCAGCGTGATTTACTCTAAATCTGCAAGGATTCTGTGGAAATAACTTGAAGATAGGTATGGGCAATCCAACCTAGCACAATCATTTGAATTGCAAAAACAACAATTAGAAACAGTGCAAGGATCTTCCAACATTGCTACTTACTTCAACAAGATAAAAGCTATATCGGATGAAATAGAATTACTTGATGCAAGGACTGTATGTGTTTGTGTTGATTGTAAGTGTGGAGCTAATGATAAGAATGATGCACTTGAAGAGAGACGGAAATTGGTTCAGTTTTTAATGGGACTGAATGATCATATACTAATGTTAGGGGAAATATCATGATGATGCATCCTTTACCAAATATTGATAGGGCTTACTACTTACTCTTGCAAGAGGAAAGGCAAAGAGGGATACAAAACATGGGACATTATCCTAGTGACTCTGGGTCATTTGCTGTGCCAACACAAAGGTTTAATTTAACTCAAGCTAAACCTACAACCTCTACAGTGAATAACACTGGTGGTTATACTTTTAGAACTAATCAAGACAACAGGAGATGTCTGAATTGCAACTATTGCAAAAAGCCAGGACATACAATCGACAAATGCTATAAACTTCATGGTTATCCACAGAATTTCAAGCCAGGTTATCCACAGAATTTCAAACAAAGAAGAATTCAGAATTCTATTCAAGGAAATGCAGTAACAACAGATGAAGGTTATGGTCAAGTTCAATCCCATGATGTGGAAGCAACCATTGGTATAAAGCAAGAACAATTGACACAACTAATGAAATTACTTCAACAAGTTAAAATTGGTCAGGAAGCTACAACAAATTCTGAAACCATTGCCAATGCTAATTGTGTTGGTACATGCTTGCCTAATCTTTCCTATTCACAAAGCAATCTTAGGAGTCATATTTGGATTCTTGACTCTGGAGCTTCAGAACACATGACTTTTGACTCTAGCATCATTGTTAATATCAAACCTTTACCTAATCCTGTTAATGTTAATCTTCCTAATTCACAAAGATTAAGAGTAACTCTGGCAGGACAAGTAACAATACATCCAGACTTGACTCTACACAAAGTTCTTTATGTCCCAGATTTTAAATTCAACCTCATTTCAGTTAACAGACTGTGCACTCAACTCAAAGTTCTTCTTACCTTTGCTGAAACTTGTTGTTTGATGCAGGGCCTTTCTTTGAGGAGGCCCATGGTCCTTGGTGATGTGAAGGCTGGTCTTTACCTTTTCCACTCAACTCACAAGCTTGCTGATTCCCTGTATTCAAATAAAGCTGTCACATTTTCACAGAATTCTTCTCTACCATACTGCAATTCTCATATTATGTCTAACTCTGTTAATACTGATAAAAATCTGTGGCATGTAAGGCTAGGACATTTACCCATTTCTACCATGAGATATATTTCTATCTTACCACAATCTGCTGTTTGTAAAGAAGATATTCCCTGTTCCATTTGTCCTATGGCTAGACAACACAGATTACCTTTTCCAGACAGCACAAGTTCTACTTCTCATATTTTTGAACTTATTCACATTGATACCTGGGGACCCTACAAGGAACCCACCTACAATGGTTTTAAGTACTTCCTTACTATTGTTGATGATTTTAGTAGGGGTACTTGGACATACCTACTCAGTACTAAAAGTAATGCCTTCACTGTTCTCAAATCCTTCATATCTATGGTAGAAAACAATTTGAAGTCAAAGTCAAGAAAGTTAGGTCTGATAATGCCTTTGAGCTAGGAAGCAGTCTTGCTACCATAGCTTATTTTTCTTCCAAAGGAATTATTCACCAAACCACTTGTGTTGGGACCCCTCAACAAAATGGTATTGTTGAGAGAAAACACAAACATTTGATGGAAACCTGTCGAGCTCTTCTTTTTCATTCCAAAGTACCTATTTGTTATTGGGGGGAATGTTTACTTACTGCCACTTTTCTCATTAATAGATTTCCTACCAAACTTCTACACTACAAATCTCCTTATGAAATACTGTTTCACAAACCTCCTAATTACACTTTTCTTAGAAGTTTTGGATACTTATGTTTTGCTTCTACTTTGCCTAATCTTAGAGGCAAACTTGATCCTAGGGCTATCACTTGTGTCTTCCTTGGTTATCCTACTGGTAAGAAAGGATACAAGCTATTAAATTTAGCAACCAATAAGGTTTTTGTCTCCAGAAATGTGATTTTTCATGAATCTGTTTTTCCTTTTACACATCCTACCACTACTTTCTCTCAGTTCTTTCCTCCTTCTTCTACTATTGATTTTTCTACACCACAACCTATCACTTTTTCTGATTCCTCTATTCCTCTCCCCACTGATGATTCTCCTGCTCCTGTTTCCTCTCCAGTTTCATTTCCTCCAGCTGATCATAGTCCTATTCCTAGTTCACCTTCTACATCATCTTTTAATCCTTCTCCTTCTTCATCTGGTTCACCTATCTCCTCCTCTCCATCTCCTTCTCATCCTCCCACCACTCATGTTTCCTCTTCTGAGGTTCCTCCTGATGCCTTGCGCATATCTTTAAGAGAACACAATGCTCCTAGTTATTTGTCTGACTACATCTGTGGGGCAGTGCACCTAACCAATGTATCTAATTCCTGTTTCTTCTCACTTGTTTCCCCTTCTACTATTTCTCCCAATCTACTTTCTGTTTCTAACCAAAGTTTGCTAAATTCCCTACCTAATGTCCATGAGCCTTCTAGTTATTCTCAGGCAGCATTGGACCCTGGTTGGCAAGCAGCAATGGATAAGGAACTTGATGCTTTAAAGGCTAATGATACTTGGGAGGTAGTTCCATTACCTGTTGGGAGGAAGGCTTTACCTTGTAAGTGGGTCTACAAGGTTAAACTAAAATCTGATGGGAGTGTGGAAAGGCTCAAATCTCGTTTGGTTATTAGAAGGGATACTCAACGAGAGGGGATTGATTTTGCAGAGACTTTCTCCCCTGTGGTCAAATTGACCACTATTAGGTGCATTCTTGCTATTGCTGTTAAAAAAATTGGGGACTTTATCAATTGGATGTGAATAACGCCTTTCTACATGGGGATTTACATGAAGAAGTTTATATGAAATTTCCAGCAGGCTTAGACCCTCCTTCTCCTAACCTAGTTTGTCGACTCAAGAAATCTCTCTATGGTCTTCGCCAAGCCTCTAGGCAGTGGTATGCTTGTTTGACTGCTGCTCTTAATTTCAAGGGTTTTACTCACTCCCTTAACGACTACTCTCTTTTTTACAAGAAAACTGGTGATTCTGTTTCTCTGGTGGCAGTTTATGTGGATGACATTTTACTAACAAGCAACAATGTTCAGGAGCTGAATGATTTGAAACAATTCTTAGATCATGAATTCAAAATTAAAGACTTGGGGAACTTATCTTATTTCTTGGGGATGGAAGTACTTCGTGAGTCCTCTGGTCTGATCATATGCCAACGCAAGTTCACTCTTGACCTTCTCACTGAATTTGACTGCCTTGGTTTGTCCCCTGCCTCTTCTCCTTTGGACCCTTCTTCTAAACTACGTACTAGTGTTGGGGCTCCTCTTGCTGATCCTCTGCTCTATCGTCGTCTTTTGGGCAAACTTAATTTCTTAACTCACACCCGTCCTGATATTTCTTTTGTCGTCCAGCATCTTAGTCAATTCATGCAAGACCCTCGCGAGCCTCATTTCTCTGCTGCTCATCATTGTCTTCGTTATCTCCTTCGTGACCCTGGTTTAGGTCTCTTCATGAGTGCTGATCCTTCTCTTGATTTACTTGCCTTTTGCGACTCTAATTGGGGTTCTTATCCTGATAGTCGTCGCTCTGTCAGTGGGTTTTTCATTAGTCTAGGAGGTTGTCCTGTTTCTTGGAAGTCCAAGAAACAACCTTCCGTCTCTTTGTCTTCCGCTGAAGCCGAGTACCGGTCCATGCGGCAAGTCGTTGCTGAACTAACCTGGCTCGTTCGTTTACTTGACGATCTTTCTGTTCTTCCTTCGTTGCCGGTGCCTCTTCACTCTGACAGTCAGGCCGCCATCCATATCGCCAAAAACCCCGTCTTCCATGAGCGTACCAAACATGTGGAACTTGATTGCCATTTTGTTAGGCAGCAGTTCCAAGCGGGGCTCATCTCTCTCTCTCCTTTCTTCCTTCTCACCATCAACTCGCTGACCTGTTTACCAAGCCCCTTTTTGGTCCTCTCCATCGTAGTTTACTGGGCAAGTTGGGCGTGCTTTCCGCCCCCTCCAACTTGAGGGGGGGGGGGTGTTGCCGATGGAAAAGAAACTAAAGATAGGGTTTCTTGACAACAATGAAATGGAAAAGAAGATAAGGGTTTCTTCTCACTATATGGCACTATTGGGCTACACGAGTTACAACTGGTTATTGGGCCTATTGGCATATTGGGCTTTCATCAGCTAATTCCTTACTGGACTTACATCAATTTAGTATTTTCTTTTGTTATCCTCTGTACATACAATAATAGTAGCTTCTAGTATCTTCTAGAATAGGGGTAATTATGCACATGAGTAAGGAGGTTAGTTAGTTAGCTATATATTCATTTTCAACTATTGTAAAACGGTTACATAATCAATAATAAGAAGAATATATTCATTTGCTCTCTTTACAAAATCTCTCTCTCCAAAATCAACATGTTTTTATACTTGCACATGATAATTGAGTTTAACGCTTTCAAAATTGAATCTAATCAAACAGTTTCTATTTTCTGAGAAAATGTGGAACAGATTATTGTAAAATTGTGATGGCTTAAAAATTTAAAAATTTATCAGGATAAATTGCTACCGTATTTTCACTTAAAATGTCAGCAATATCCTCATGAAGCCATATCAGGCGCCTTGGGTATTCTTGCACTGCAATATGTCGGCCCATTTCTCGAATCAAATCATGCATCTGAATACTACCAAATGATGATACAAAAAGGAGGGACTTCTCAACCAGGACATCAATAATTATTTCAGTGAACAGTGTTTTCAGAGCAGCAGTATCTGGTGTAACAATTGAACATGCTAAGTCTAGGAAAACTTGCTTCACTTTATCCCCTAGCCCACTATAACTTATCTTAAGCTTTGAAATGATTTCATCATTAGGAATATCTTGCAATGTATCCAGTGCACTCCTCCACTGTTTTATGTTCTGTCCACGAAGGAAGGAACCCAAAACTTGTGATTCTGCCAATACCACCCGTCCCTGAAATCCCGATAAATCGAACATCTTCACATTCCATCATCGACATCGAGCTTACAGCCGAATTTGTGATTCTGCTCCGACTAGAGTGCCACTGAGAGTATTGTCCCAAGTAAGAGTGAAGTTTTGAAGATTGACAAAAGAACTCAGACATGGACCAGGTCCATCTTGTGAGGCACAATAGTGATCAACCCAAACATGTGAGATGCACGTGAAGGAGATAAGCCTAACTTATCAGAAGTGATATCTCCTGATCATGATCGAAAAGGTTGCATATTGGATAAGGAGAAAGACTCCTTACACAAAGAGAACACGGTTTAGGAAAAGGATAAGAGTCAGAGTATAAGATCAACTAGGACTCTTTCACTATGGAAGAGTAGCATCTGTATCCTAGTAAAACTCTAATTACTAACTCCTTAAATATCAGTGTTGTTCTCTTTTACAGATGATGCACATAAGCAGAAGTAAAACGTGAATTGAGAGCAAAATAGCAAGGCAATTGTGCAAGCAGTTTATGTGTGATTCAAGCGTGCAATCCTGAAGCTACTTGAACCAGATAGAAGAACCAGTTCCAAGTGTCTATCTTTTATTCTAGTTCAATTGTAGTAGGTGATTTTACATTGTACCTTTCAGCTTTTACAGAAGCAATTGTATTAGGTACTTAGAGTTTTCAAGTTAGAGTTAACTTGAAGTTATCGCAACAATTGAGGCTGTGTGCCACAACGGGATTAGAGTTAATCCTAGGCTTACAAAAGAGTTTTTGTAAATGCAGTTTTTGGCTCAGTGATTTTAATGGAGAGTTTGGGAAAATCCTACTGAGTAGTAGGTCGTGGTTTTTTTTACCTTTTGAGCTAGGTATTTTCCACGGAAAAATCTCTGTGTTCTTTATTTTCTTTACTTATTATTACCCAAACAGTAATAGTTGGAACACATAGAAGAACTAGGTCCTTCTATAATCAAGTTAAGCGAAAATTGGGTACCACACAAAGCACCCCCCTCTTGTGTGGTATTGAAGTATAAAACATCAATTGGTATCAGAGCAGGTTATCCTTGAAGAGGATAACACCTTAGGAAGAGATCAAGATGAGTGCACCACCTGGAAATTGGGAAGGGCAATCCACTGCTAGGCCTCCACTCTTTAATGGCTAGTACTATTCCTGGTGGAAGAACAGGATGAGAGAACACATCATATGAGAAGACTATGAACTCTGGGACATAGTCACTGATGGTCCCTTGGCTACTACAAAGAAAAATGTTGAAGGAGTGGATGTGCCAAAGACAAGAGCTGACTGTACTGCTGAAGATTTGAAGAAATGGGAAAAGAATGCCAAGTCCAAGAAATGGCTTGTATGTGGACTAGGTCCAGATGAGTACAGCAGGATTCAAAGTTGTACCACTGCTAAGGAGATATGGGACACTCTACAAGTGTCCCATGAAGGAACTCCTCAAGTAAAGAGATCAAGAGGAACGCTGTTATATTCTCAATATGAGAATTTCACCATGAAGGAAGGAGAAACTATCCAAGAGATGTACACAAGGTTCACAACACTAACAAATGAACTTAAGTCTCTTGGAAGAATTATCCTTAAAGAAGACAAGGTTGAGAAAATATTGACAAGGGTCTTGCCAGTAACTTGGGAAAGCAAAATCACTGCTATTCAGGAATCAAAGAACATTGCTACTCTCAAGTTGGATGAGCTGATTGGAAATCTCATTGCCTATGAATTGAGAAGGCAAACCATGAAGATGGATGCACCCAAGAAGGAAAGGAGCCTGACTCTCAGAATAGCTGAAGGTGCAGATCTAGAGGATGATGAAATGACCATGATCACAAGGGATTTCAAGAAGTACCTAATGAGAGGAAAGGGTTCTTCAAGAGGTACAACCTTCAACAAACCAAGGGCTCCTGAGAAACAGACCAACGAGGGCTGCTACAAATATGGTAAGACTGACCACATGATCAAGAATTGTCCTCAGTGGGAAATCGAATGGAAGAAGGAAAGGGCTGAACGAAGGGACAGGTCACTGATTGGCACTAAATGGGTCTTCAGAAACAAACTTGATGAAGATGGAACAGTTACAAGGAACAAGGCAAGGCTAGTTGTCCAAGGTTATAGCCAAGAGGAGGGCATAGATTATGATGAGACCTTTGCTCCAGTAGCAAGACTGGAGGCAATAAGACTCCTCATAGCCTTTGCAGCATACATAGAATTTACCCTTCACCAAATGGATGTGAAGAGTGCCTTCCTCAATGGTTACTTAAAGGAAGAAATCTTTGTCAAACAACCTCCTGGGTTTGAAAATAAGGAGTGTCCAGATCATGTATACAAATTGGACAAGGCCCTATATGGACTCAAGCAGGCTCCTAGAGCTTGGTATGAACGTCTATCCAAATTCCTGCTTGAACATGGATACAAAAGAGGTAAGATTGACAGTACTCTATTCTTGAGGGAAAAAGGTAAGGATCTACTAGTAGTACAAATTTATGTTGATGACATAATTTTTGGGGCAACCATTGAAAAACTGAGTAAGGATTTTGCAAAATTAATGGGGAGTGAATTTGAAATGAGTATGATGGGTGAGCTTAATTTTTTCTTAGGCTTACAGATCAAACAAAACCCTAATGGAACCATGATCCATCAGCAGAAATATGCAAGGGAGTTGATTAAGAAGTTTAAAATGGATGAATCAAAAGAAATAGACACACCCATTGCAACTGCCACTAAATTAGACATAGATGAACCTGGTTCATCTGTTGATCAAAAGTTGTATAGGGGTATGATTGGCTCATTTTTGTATCTTACTGCTAGCAGACCTGACATAGTTTTCAGTGTAGGGCTTTGTGCTCG